GCGGCGGCGGCAGCGGCGGCCGCGGCGGCGGCGGTGAGTTTGCAGTCAAGAGGCATATGATCGGCTTCTAGCTGCTCGCAGTCATGCCTTGTCGGCCGCACGCAATTCCTGAACCATACTCGTTCACACCAGGACCAAGCGCAGCCGAGGTTATTCTTCTTGGCTGCAGGTGTCCTGTCAGGTGGCCCAACAGGCTCACGTCACTCACCTCCCCAGTCTTAGAGTTGCCATGCCTACATTAGCTGCTGCATTGTCTATTACATCATGCCACCACGCTTATGCATTGTTTTGCCAATCCGTGATTCACTGCATGCACACCAATCACACCACCACCGTCACAGGCTGGCCCAGGCCTCTGCTGGGAGGATACGGCGGGGTCCAGAACGCATTCTCAGGCCCAATGGCCGCCATGGGCCCAGCACCGCTCAGCAGGGTGGCGGCGTTCGCCGCGCCTTCGGCGCTTGCCGGCGCGAGCAGCATGGGCGCGGCCTCCGGGATCGGCTTCAAGACAGGTGGGGGCGAGCGGAGCTGAGGGTGTGCAAGGTGCTGGGGGAGAGCTCGCCTGCGCCTGCAGTGGGCCTCAGAGCCCCGATGCTCACAATCTCTCTTTGGTCGCACGCTTCTGGATGGATGACATCACTGAAGGCCGCGCCGCCAAATCACACCTTGCACGCATCCTACTTGGCGCGTGCCCCGCGCTCCACTGACCTGCAGGAGGCGCCCAGGACGTATCCAATTTCCGGGAGAACATTAAGTCCGGGAAGCTTCCCATCCCGACTGACGTGACGTATGAGGGGCTCGTGAAGGATTACTACTTTGACACCAGGAGCAGGTGCGCTTGGTGTGTGCATGTGAGTGCATGCATGTGCACTCGTGGAGATGTCTGTCTGTATGTGGTGGTGTTTCTACGGCTGTGTGTGCGTGTGTGCGTGGTGTGTAACTGTGTGTGTGTGTGCGCGTGTGCGTGGATGCACGTATGTGCAATTGTGCGCTCGCATGCACATACGCGCATGTTACTGTTTGGTGTGGAGGAGGGGAGCGTGTGTGCACAATCAGCGCGTGCGGACCAGCATTACAGCGACACACCTGGCCGCACGCTGTGCTGCGGCGTCAAGCGGCAACTCTGCATGCAACTGGGCCGACACACGCTGCAGGTGGCTCCTGCATTTCACAGCTTCTGCCCCTCCCCCACCCATCCGGCGCCTGCAGCGACGACCCCAAGTGCGCAGACCTCTTCTGCCCCACCTACTCCCTCGCCCTCGCGCCCGACCCCGTTGTTGCGGCGGCTTCAAAGGGCGCAGCGAAGGCCGCGGCGCAGCCCAACGAAGTATTCCTCGCCGTCGGCCTGGACTCGGGCCTGACAAACTTCACGCGCCCCAAGCTGAACTTGGTGATCGTCCTGGACGTGTCGGGGTCAATGGACAGCTCATTTGACGAATACTACTACGACAGGTTTAGCAACGGCAAGAAGCGGCTCAGCGAGGCGGGTGAGTTGCATCTGTGTAGCGCTGTCAGGGCCACAAGGCAGCAGCGCGGCCGGGGCAGCAGCAGCCGCACCGCATGACGCTGCCTGTCTGTGGCCCGCCGCAGCTTGACCTCGCCGAAACGTGTTGCGATTTTTATTCCATATCACCCTCTCTGCGCTATTGTGCAGACAAGTCCAAGTCCAAGCTGGACGTGGCCAAGGAGGTCCTGCAGGGCATGCTGGACAAGCTGCGGCCAGATGACTCAGGTGAGTAATGTTATCATGGCTAGGGAGCAGCTACGGATTTCTCTGAGTACGCTTCTATTTTTGAGATCAAATGAAGTTCAACTCATTCAGGGCGGGGTATAGAGGGCCGTATTGCGTGCTGCACCATGCTGGTGTGTCTGGGTTGCTCACCAGTCCTGCTCACCCGTCGTCCTTCAGGATGCCCGCACTCTCTGGGCAACCCCATTGGCGGCATGAAGAGATGCCCATCCAATTTTCATCCAAGCCCCCCGCCAGAACCTTGGCCATGGGCGACCCTACCTCCTGCACTCGTGCTGTCACGCAGTGGCCATCACCCTTTTCTCCAGCAACGCGGCCACGCCCAAGAAGATGGGCAAGTGGGGCAGCGCCGACAAGGAGGCCGTGCAGGCAGGCGTCGGCGCCCTCAAGACCGTCTCCAGCACCAACTTCCAGGTCAGTGGCCTCTGGTGTCCCGAAGTCTGCCCTGATATGCCAGGCATACACGTGTCAGCCACCCTATATGTGAATGCACTGCCGCCATTTGTCAGCGTGGGGTTTTTGAACCTGGGGGGCCGCTCATGTCATGCAATGCAGGCGGGGCTGGACCAGGCCGTGACGAATATGCGGAGCTACACCGACTGCTTCGGCGGGGACCCATCCACCACGGAAAACCGCATCATCGTCCTCACAGGTGCATTGAAAACTTGCGCGGCTGCGAAACATCCGCTTATCGTCGCGCCGTTTGCTGTGCTGATGTTGCCCTGCCCAACCACGCTCGCTGCGCCGGTCTTGGCTGACTGGCTGGTCTTGTGCAGCTGTGTATTGCTAGCCTTGCGTTGCTTGCCCTTTGAAGCGGGTCGCACTCAATCCCACCCGTCACCTCGGCCCGTCTGCACTTCCGTCAGACGCCCAGCCCAACGAAGGAGACATTACGGATGAGGGGCTCTTGGCGCGGATGAAGGCCAACGCTGGCGACGGGTTCTACATGACAATGGTTGGTGAGTGGCCCAGCCTGGGGGACTGCACTCCTCCCTCCCCCCGCCATCCATGCCTGCGCGGCCACGTTTGCTTTTGATTCAGCTTCTGTGCGTGCCACTGTGTCCAGCTTGCTCAGCTCATATGCTGCTGTGCTTGCAACGAGCACAGCAGCCCATGGCTGACCCCCCAACCCATCAGTGGGCTGCTCTAGGCGCCCTCAATACCCTGCTCTTGCGCTTGACAGCACCCAGGCGCCTGCTCGCATGCACTTTGCCCATTTGCTCGCAAACCCTCCCGCCTGTTCGGCCGCCAACCTGCCTCATTTCCATTCTCACCCGATGCTGACCTGCAGGCATCGGCCTGGACTTCAACACCAAGCTGGTGGAGAGCATCCTGAAGGTCAAGGGGGCGAACTACTACTCAGTGCACACACCAGGTGAGTGGAGGGAACGTCAAGGCCTACTGAGAGTTGCACAACTGGAAGCGAGTGTTGGCAATTGTCTGGGGCAGGTAAAGGAGGACTTGAGCGCGGGGTTACTGGTTTGGGTGCATGGGAGATGCAGCTAGCCCACAGAGTTGGCTATGCTCAGCTGGAGGCTGGGGGTGGCATGATGGCGCGAAAGCGCGTCAGACCCCCACAAACACCACTCTGCTGTCCTTGCATAAATGCCCTTGTCAACAGGCGAGTTCAAGCAGCGCCTGGCGGACGAGTTCGACTCCATGGTGGCGCCCCTGGTGTTTGACCTGTCGCTGGCGGTCGACTCCTCGAGCCTGGCGCCAACCAAGGACGGCAGCCAGCAGGGCGGGTGGAAAATCGTGAACGTCTACGGCAGCCCGGACGCTGCGGGCGGCAAGCCAAGTGACGGCAATATCTTGAAGGTGATCGGCTGTACAGTTGGTGTGTGCATGGTGTGTGCCAGCACGCATGCATTGCTGCATGCCTCATGCATGCACTGCCGCCTGCATGCATGCACACAGGTGTTTATTTAAAGGTTGGGGCTGCAGGCAACCTCTTGCATTGAAGTGTGCACACTTGCTGACACGTCCATGCGTTTGCTGTCCTTCTTCTGCTATTTGTAGGTGCTGACTCTGTTCCCGACGCCCAAGACCGAAGAGGGCATCAAGGGCGGGGTGGTCCTGCTGCGCGTGCAGCCTCCCCCTGGCACCACCATTGCCACAGCGCCCCCGCTGAAGCTGTCGGCCCAGTACACCGACAGGTGGGGAGCTCATTTGGCGGCGGCGCGCACAGGGGCACCCGGTCATGCTGCCCTGCGTACAGCTCTCTGCGGATGGGCGCACGTGTCGCACTGACGCCGGTCAGCAGTAGTGCGTTGTTGCTGAGTGCGCCGGCTGCTATTTTTGCTGCACCTGGCCACCCTGCGACGCACAGGAACGCGACGCCACTCCCGCATCCCTGCTGACCCGATCCCCCTGCCTCGTTGTCAATTCCAGGTCTGGCAAGAAGTTCACGACCGCCAGGACAGTGCAGGTACCTGCTGCGGCGAAGAGCGGCGCCGCCTACTTCCAATCGAGCGGCGTGAGGAAGGCCGTGGCGCTGGCCCGCCTTTCGGACGCGCTGCAGCTCTGGTGGGCCTCCGAAGCGGTCTTTGACTGCCACGGCGCACTTATATCTTTCCGGGCTTCTTGCCCACTCATGCCTTGGCCTGCTGTGCAACTTCCGAGGCTGGATCCCTGATGCTGACCGCGTCCACGTATTGCTGGCTGATTCCAACAGGTTGGTGGAAGAGAACGCCAAGCAGGCGCCGGCCAGCAAGGTGACGTTTGCCGACAGGTGTGACATCATCTTCAACTACGCAGGCCTCTGGACGCCGCCCCCGATCTGGCCGGGCCGCGTGCCCCGCATCCGCATTGGCTGCCCCTTGGTGCCGTTCGCGCTCGGCCGCTGGGAGCGCCAGTCGCGCGGGCTGGCGGTCGGCCGCGACGCGCGGGACGCGCTGCAGCCGGTGCTGCAGTTCGTGAAATCGGAGCAGGCGGCGGTCAAAGACAGCACCATGAAGCAGGAGGTTGACCTGCTGCAGAAGCTCGTTGACCTCAAGTCATAGCCAAGCCGAGGTGCAAACAGCTTGGCCCTTGCCACGACGCACAGCGTCATTGTGGGTCCCAGGAACCTGTGTTGATCTATATGTTGTTAATTTCATGCCTGATCTTCACCGGGACAGGACTGCGTGGTTTTCATCGGGCAGGCGGCAGACATTGCAAACTCTGAACATATGGCCTCCGCCTGCAGCAAGGCGGGGCGCAGGAAGTGCGCTGCAAAGCAGCAGTCGCAGGCAGTAGAGCTGCACCACACAAAGTTGTCATTACTGTGTTTTTGAAGTAGGCCGCCTGCTGCTTTGAGTGGGCATGTGGCGCCCCTAGCGCCAGTCCACAAGCCGTTTCACAGTTGTGACTTTTCATTGACATATGGTAAATGCATATCCTGTTGGTAGATAATTTACTCTGGTTATAATAAGAAAAGGGAGGAGTAAATATGGATAACTCGTGTGGAATGTCGGAATTTGCATGTTGAGAAATACAGCAGCTCCGCATACGATACGCGCACCAGCGGTGGAGCAGAGACCGCCTCTGCAACATGCATCGCTTGGCCTCAGGGCACGGGCTGCTGCGCCTGCGCCTGCGCAGCCTTGCACGCCTGCCGGTGCCCCGCCGCCCAGCCCTTCCTGTAGCAGGCGTCTGAGCAGAAGCGCGCCGCCCTGCAGCCCCTGCACAGCCGCAGCCTCGTGCCGGGCGCAGCGGCGCTTGCGCCGCAGAAACTGCAACAGGTCTGCGGATCCACCAGCTGCTGGCGCGGCTGCTGGGCCTGCGGTTGAGCCGCCTCTTGCGGCGGCTGCGGCTCCTGAGGCACCGGCTGGATCGTCTGTTCGGGCGCCGGCTGCAGAGCCTGCACTCCCTCAGCCGCCTCCGTGCCTAGTGGCGCCGATGGTTGCGGCATTGATGATGAAGGTTCCTGATGCTGCCCAAACAACAAATCTTCGAGCGAAACATCCACTGTCCTGCCAAATAGGCGCACCACATCCTCGTCGACAAGGCTCTGCTGCACGCCGCGCTGCAGCGCCTTCAAGAGGTGCGGCTCTGTAGCCAGAAACGCAGAAGCGGCGGCCCAAAGCTCGTGGTCGGCACCGCCGCCTGCCGAACGATACACGAGGTGCATCAGCGCCCTGGCAAGCGCTGATTGGGCGGCGCGTGCAAGCTCCACCTGGTCGGGCGCATACTCGTGGTCGATCACGAGCCGCAGCGCCTGCGCGATGGCTGGCCTCAGGAGTGGCGCCCCGGCGTAAATGCGATCTAGCAAGCCTTCAGAGCTGGCTTTGGCGGCGTGTGCGATGTTGACGACGAGGGCAGCAAGGATCCAGGCAGTCATGACTTGTGCATGCACGTCGCACGCGTGCAGCTGCCACGCGACGGCTTCCATTGCGCCAGGCGTAGACGCCATCAGGCGCGCGAGATCGGCCGCTGTCGACAAGATTGATGGGGGTTTGTCCGTGTCTGGGGATGCCAGGGACGACGCGAGCGTGCACGCGTCCAAAGCTGCTGCGCCGCCGTAATCTGGCAGGTCCCAGGTGCGCCGCAGGAAGCCGACCAAGAGCGCTGCTGTAGGCAGGCTCCGGAGCTGGTCGCGCGCCTCGAGGCTGGCTAGCGACGCGGAGCTTAATATGTACAACGCAGCCGCGTGCTCGTCCGATTCGCCACAGATCATTTTGGTGAGCGCCGCGAGCGCGCCAGGGGCGCTCGTGATCGCCCCAGTAAGCTGCGGCTCCAAGGGCTGAGACTGATGCACCAGCAACGCAATCAGGTGAGTGCATATGACGCGTGCTGCGTGGCCCTCCGACGCCTCGTTACCGTTGCCGCCGGCCCTGTCCCCGCTGCCGCTGCCGTCAATCGCGTCAGGCGAGGGGCCGAAATGGCCTAGCGGCCTGGCGGCAAGCTGCGCAGCCAGGGCCGCGAAGAGGTGTGGCAAGGATACGTCCTGCGCTGAGGCCGCGTCCTCTGAGAATTGCGACGACAGCTCCCTGCAGATATGCAAGAGGTCGCGATCCGATAGGCACGGCGTGGCGCGCAGTATGCCGGCCGCGGCCGCGAAGATTCGGCGGGCGCTGGCGCGCGCGAGGGCCCTCGCGGCATCGGCTGCACTGGCGTCCACGCCGGGCGCGCCCCTGCGCCTCGCCATATGCTCAAGCGGGCCGCTCCACACTGCGGCCGCTTTGAACGCGGCGATTGCAGCCTGGCTGCCGGGGGCCGCAGCAGCAGTCGTAAGGACGGCCTCAAGCGCGGCGCGACCAGCCGCGCCAGCCAGCAGCTCGGTTGCGGAGGGGTTGTGGTGGTAGACCTCGCTGATGATGAGCGCCGCGCAGCCGGCGCATTCACGGCCCCCAGGCCACCGTCGCAGGCACGCTGCGGCGGCGGACACCAGTCCTGGGATCGCGGCAACCTGCATGGAGGGGTGAGGGGATTGGGAGCGGGCGAAGGGGAAAGTCGCAAGACCATGTGCTTCCAACATGTTCAGTGCAGGCGGGTCGATCACTCCATGCGCAGCCCCTGCGCGTCGCTCGTTGCGTGGCCGCTGCACGCACCTGCGGCACCCAGAGGGATGGCACGCCTCTGTGTGACCCCATCTCATTGCGAATGGTGATCATCAGCGCGTTAAGACTGAGCAACAGCATTTCGGCCCCCGCCTGGTCGTTCGCATCTGCCGCGATCTCGAGGCGCCGCGGCAGCTGGGCCAGCAGGCACAGGTGCTCCGGGCCGAGCGCACAGGGCAGGGCTTCTGCGGCGCATCTGATATCCTCGATGGCCTCCAAGCGTTGGACTGTGCACTTCCGTAGGCGGCCGCTGCTGGCCTGTGAGTCCAGCTGCAACGCATTGAGGAGCGCCCGCTCCAAGCGCTGCTGCGGGGTTGGCGCCAAGCCCATCGGTGCCGGCTGTGAGCCCTTGGTGCGGTTCTTCTTGGGAGCACCGTCACGATCTGCAGATCCTTTCAAGATCTCCGCCATCATGGATTATAAGAAGCGTGGTCTCTCGTGATGATCTGACGAGCAGTTTGTGCAGCAAAACGTGGAAAAGAAGAGATGCGATCACTAAGTACAAAGGTATCACAGGAGCACAGGCACAATATCATCAGGCACAATCCCGTGCCGTGTGCGGGTCTAGTACTGGTCTCACAACAACTGAACTTGACCGGCGGCCCTGACAGGCCTGCGTAGCCTGCATACTGTACGGGAATGATGCGCATTTTGAGGCTCCAACAGTACGCACACAAGCACTTTGCCTCGAATGCCTAACAACAGCCGCGTCCGCCGCTGCACACAGACCAGGCACTGCTGCTGGAGGGTGCAGTGCTGCGAAACCCTAGCGACAGGGGTGGTGCCCAGCCAGATCGGCTCTGCAAGCCAGGCTCTAGCATGGATGACGCCTGATGGGCGTTCCCCTCCCCACCTGGCCGGGCCGCGTGCCCGCATCCGCATCGGCTGCCCCTTGGTGCCGTGCGCGCTCGGTCGCTGGGAGCGCCAGTCGCGCGGGCTGGCGGTCGGCCGCGACGCGCGGGACGCGCTGCAGCCGGTGCTGCAGTACGTGAAGTCGGAGCAGGCGGCGGTCAAGGACAGCACCATGAAGCAGGAGGTTGACCTGCTGCAGAAGCTCGTTGACCTCAAGCCGTAGCCGAGCTGAGGTGCAAACAGTTTGGCCCCAGCCACGCACCATAGCATCATCGTGGGTCTCAGAGACCTGTGTTGATCCATATGTTGTTGATTATATGCCCGATCTTCACTGGGGCGGGGCTGGTGTTCATGGGGCACGCGGCAGACATTGTCAACTCTGAACATGTGGCCTCCGCCTGCAGCAATGCGGGGCGCAGGAAGTGCGCTGCAAAGCAGCAGTCGCAGGCAGTCGAGGTGCCCAACTCAAAGTTATCATCACTGTGTTTTGAACTAGGCCGCCTGCTGCTTTGAGTGGACATATGGCGCCTCCAGCGCCAGTCCACATGCCAATTCACAGTTGTGACGGTTCACCTGCATATGCTTGATCCCGTTTTATATGTTACTCTGGTTATAACAGGGAGGAGTTAATGAACAAGTCGCGTTGAGCGTTGAATGTCAAATCTGTCTGCTGAGGAATACTGCAGCCCTGCATACCACACGCGCACCAGCAGTGGAACAGACACCGTTCCAGCCACATACAGTGCTTGGCCTCAGGACCCGGGCTGCGCTGCAGGAGGCGCATGAGCCACCTGCTGCGCCTGCGCCTGCGCCGCCTTGCACGCCTGCCGGTGCCCTGCCGCCCAGCCTTGCTTGTAGCAGGCGTTCGAGCAGAAGTGTGCCGCCCTGCAGCCCCTGCACAGCCGCAGCCTCGTGCCGGGCGCAGCGGCGCTCGTGCCGCAGAAACCGCAGCGGGGCTGCGGATCCAGTAGCTGCTGGCGCGGCTGCTGGGCCTGCGGTTGAGCCGCCTGTTGCAGCGGCTGCGGCTCCTGGGGCACCGGCTGGATCGTCTGTTGGGGCGTCGACTGCGGAGCCTGCACTCCCTCAGCCGCCTCCGTGCCTGGTGGCGCCCATGGCGGCGGCATTGATGTTGAAGGTTCCTGATGCTGCTCAAACAACAACCCTTCGAGGGAAGGATACAAAGTCCTGCATAAAAGGCGCAGCATCCTTTCGTCCTCGTCATCTAGGCCCCGTCGCACACCGCGCTGCAGCATGTCCAAAAGAGGCGGCTCGGCGGCAAACAGTGCGGAAATGGCGGCCCCTGGGTCGTTGTGGGCACCGCCGTCCGCCGAAGAACACGCGAGGACCAGCAGCGCGCAGGAAAGCGCTGAAAAGGCATAGCTTGCGCGCTCTGCATGGTAGGGCGCATACTCGTGGTCACTCACGAGCCGCAACGCCCGAGCGATGGCTGGCCTCAGGAGTGGCGCCCCAGCACAAATGCGACCCAACAAGCCGTCCGAGCTGGCTTTGGCGGCGTGTGCGATATTGCAAACGAGGGCAGCAAGGAGCCAGGCGTCTGTGACGTTCGCATGGACGTCGCACACGCGCAGCTGCCACGCGACGGCTTCCATTGCGCCAGGGGCGGACGCCATGAGGCGCGCGAGATCGGCTGCAATCGGCAAGATCAATTCGGGTGTATCCGTGTCTGGGGATGCCAGGGAGGACGCGAGCGTGCACGCGTCCAAAGCTGCTGCGCCGCCGTAATCTGGCAGGTCCCAGGTGCGCCGCAGGAAGCCGACCAAGAGCGCTGCTGTCGGCAGGCTCCGGAGCTGGTCGCGCGCCTCGAGGCTGGCTAGCGACGCGGAGCGTAATAGGTACAACGCAGCCGCGTGCTCGTCCGATTCGCCACAGATCATTTTGGTAAGCGCTGCGAGTGCTCCCGGGGCGCTCGCGATCGCCCCAGCGAGTAGTGGCTCCGAAGACTTAGACCGCTGCACCAGCGACGCAATCAGCTGAGCGCATGCGACGCGTGCTGCGTGGCCTTCCGATGCCTCATTGCCGTTGCCGCCGGCCCTGTCCCCGCCGCCGCTGCCGCCAATCGCATGAGGCGAGGGGCCGGGGCGGCCTGGCGGCCTGGTGCCTAGCTGCGCAGCAAGGGCCGTGATGAACTGCGGCAAGGGCACATCCTGCGCTGAGGCCGCATTTTCTGAGAATTGCCACGAGAGTAGCGCACAGATCTCAGAGAGATCACGACTTCTGAGGCACGGCGTGGCACGCAGGATGTCAGCCGCGCAAACAAAGATCCGCCGGGCGCTGGCGCGCCCGAGAGCCCTCGCGGCATCGGCTACGCCGCCGTCCACGCCGGGCGCACCGCCGCGCCGGCCCAGGTTGCAGAGCTGGCTGGTCAAACATGCGGCCGCCTTGAAAGCGGCGATCGCCGCAGGGCTCTCGGGGGCCGCCGCCGCAGCCGTGAGGACGGCCTCAAGCGCGGCGCTGCCAGTCGGGCCAGCCAGCAGCTCGGTTTCAGTGGGGGCGTGTTGGTAGACCTCGTTCAATACGTGCGCCGCGCTGAGCGAGCAGAGACGGCAGCCCGGCCACTGCTGCAAGCAGGCGGCTGCGGCGGACACCAGCCCAGGGATCGCAACCACCTGCATTGAGGGGCGAGGGAACCGGGAGAGGGCGCAGGCAGCTGTTGCAACACCATGAGGTGCCAACATGTTGCGTGCGGGCGGGCAGACTGCTCCATGCGCGACCCCTGCGCGCCGCTCGCCGCATGGCTGGTGAACACACCTGTGACACCCAGAAGGATGCTGCGGCTGTGCGTGTCCGCATCTCGACGCCGCTACGGGCGATGATAAGCTCACACACACTGTACAACAGTATTTCGGCCGCCCCGTGGTCGTTAGCATTGGCTGCGAGCTCGAGCCGCAGCGGCAGCTGGGCGAGCACGCGCAGGTGCTCCGGCCCGAGCGCACAGGGCAGGGCTTCTGCAGCTGTTTTGATCTCTTCGACAACCAGCAAACGCTGCTGTGTTGTGCGCGCCTGGGGCCGGCCGCTTCTGGCCTGTGAGTGCAGCTGCAGTGCATCGAGGAGCGCCCGTTCCATTCGCTGCTGCGGGGTTGGCGCCAAGGCCATTGGTGCCAGCTTTGAGCCCTTTGGCCGGGTCTTCTTGCCACTTTCGTCACGAACTAGATGGGTCTTCAAATTCTCGCCATCAACACTGATTATACGTCGCGGGTGCCGTGGGACTTTTGAAAAGCCGAGATTGATCTGGCCGAGCAAATTGTGCAGTTGAGTATGAATTTGATTACATCTACAGTACAAGGGGATGGGATCATCTGATCAAACCATAGACGGTAAAGAGAGCACAGGCACAAGCAAGGCACGGTTTGATGCCGCGCACGTAACAGTCACAGCAGGTACTTGTACCCGTGCTGCGTGCGAACCCCAACATGACAGGCGGGTCTTTGAGCCCATGTGCCCTCCCCTCTGGCCGCTCACATGATGCGCATGCAAGGCAATATACGCGCATGCCGTGTCTAATGCATTGCACCAGTCGCGTCACGCAGGCCTGATAATCCATTATGTGAGGGGGCCTAGCGGCTGCAGTGGGGATGTCACACAACCCTCGCCAAGCGACCGATCCAGGTTGGTTTTCCACAGCGCAAGCACAGCGCTGGCAAGCCGGGCTGCAGCGCATGCGACTCCTGACGGATGTGCATCATATCAGCCCGCCGCATGCAGCGCCTTTGTCCTGGGTACCGCACCAAGTACAACAAATGTTGCTGCTGCTGCTGGTGGTGCATCAGCCCGTGGCAAGAGTGTGAGTTCGCTCAGCAAGTGCTGTTATGGCTGAGAGAAAGGCAGGTCGGGGCATGCAAGGGGCCAAGGCTAGCTAGCAAGACCACTATCGCGGTCACATATGCCGCTGCTGCGCTGCCGGGTTTGCAATGCTGATGCCTTTTGTCTGAGACAGGGTACCCCCCAGCTTTGTCCCCTGGCGACCAGCGTCCCCCCTGCCAAACTAGCGCAACCAAATGGTCCTGTGATTGACGGCTGGCTGTTTACACCATCGCCTGCTCCAAAACTCGTGCCACAGAGGGTGGCATGCCCTGCATCACGGCGTTCCTGGACCCGTCCTCCCCCTCGTCACCCCCTACTGCCCCTGCCAGCGCAGCTTCCAAGCCCTCTGCTGCCAGCTGCTCCTCAGCTGCCACACACAGCTCGATCAGCAATGGACCCCTGCGGCCGCCACTCCTGCCTTCTTGCTGCGACTCCAGCAGCAGCATGCCCACAGCCCGCGGCAGCAGCAGCAGGGGCGCCGTGCGTAGCAGCAGCCGCAGCGCCGCGACACGCACACCAGACGCGTCGGCGGCGTCCGCAAGCGCCGAGAAGCTGCCGCGCAGCTGGTCGTCCGGGACCAGCAGCAGCCGCAGCGCGCGGCGGCGCACCAGAACGTCTGTCGCATCTTTCAGAGAAAGCTGGAGGATGGAGCAGAGGGCGCGCAACCGCGAGGAAGCTGCCCGCCACTCGAGCAGCGCGAGCGCCGGCAGGCGGG